AGTTGTAGGATACGTAAAGGGGACCTGAAGGGAAATTGAAAGAAAAAAGAATTGCAGGGAAACTATATGAAATCTTGAGGGAGGGTAGAGGGAAATCTGGATGAAGAATAATTTGAGGGGTGCGAAAAAGAAGTAAAAAGTCATGAATACCAAAACGTGACGTATCATCAATGTAGCTAATTTACAACCACAAGGCATTTGTTCAAAGTGGTTAATACTGTGGACATTATTAACTAGTAGTCAATAATGAGAACTGTCACGCTGTCACTTTTAGAAAACACAACCCGAAATACCTCACAAAAACGTATTCAAAAAATCTCTAAAATGGCGCATTTTGGAAAAAAATGGAAAATGGTGCTTCTATAGAAAAAAAAAACAAAATGGCGCCATCTTCCAGTTTTACGGAAGCAGAAATTGTTGTATTTCAATGTGCAATGGACGATTTTTAATATACAACAAAATACTATTACTTTACAATCACCGCTTTGTAAAATGCAAACGATTAAACTGTTTATTAGGTACTACCTAAGTTACCTATTATTAATGTTAATTCTGAAAACCATCAAGTTACTATAGTCAGTATGTTAAATACCTATCTACGCCTACCTACGGTAGTAGCCTCAGCATGCCGTGGTTGCCCATCGGAATAATCATCACAGGCTTTTGTAGATACTTAACACACTATACTCTTTAGTAACCCAATTTTAATTTTGATTGACGCATTCCTTGTTACAGTAGATCACAGTTTATTGTTTGCATCGTCTACAAAACGTTATCAACCGTTCGTTCATAGTTGTTGAAATATTCGCAATGTTTGCTTAAAATGAAATAGGTACCTACGTTCAATTGGTGTCAAGAACTGTGACTCTTTCCGGAAAAACCTGTACCTATTGAGAGGCAAGTCGCTGCGCATTACATCAAATTCAAAAAGGGGAGTTTCAAAAAAGGAAAACACCATCTGTAATCCTCGCTTTTTCTCCAAATTTCGCTTCTTTAATTCTAGAAGTATATTATTACTTCCTTTTGCCTGTGCGGAAAAGTTAACAAAGAATTACGAAATAAACAATTGAAAATAAACTGTTTCAAACCAATATAGACAACGAGCAACAAACACAGACGGACGGACCAAAATTTAATTTAGTCCATTGTCTACCTATCACTGAAAACCGTTCGCGAGTTATCATGTATACATAGACAGACGGACAGAAAGTCAGTACAAAATCATGAACGAGCTGGGTCTTCGGTTAATAAGTCACAATTCATGGAAAAAACCAAAGGTTTCTCTGAATATCTTTAAATTTACGATTTTATTAGAAATTCTGTCGTTTTTGCCAGGAACATTAAAATTCTTTTCTATATCAATTTAAAAAGTGAAATTTCAGGAACTACTAGGTACCAGGAATATTGTTCTTCGTGTTTTCTCCAGCTCTGCTTTTGTGTATATAGATTATTCTGTTTTCCCTGTGCGGAGGATAAAATTTTTTAAAGGGAGGCACAATTCAAAAAAATAACAGAATTACAAGTTAACTATTTAAAAAATACTACATAAGTATAAGATCGTAATATAGTCTAGTCTCTAGTAAATAGTAAAATAGGGACAGGATCTCAAAGTTACCTGGAGAAAGCTGGAAATCGTTTTAATTTGAGTATGTAATCAAAGTGTCAATTTGTCTCTTGTACCTATTTTGCGTTGTCTCTCTTATGTTCTGGGATAATTGTTTCAAATTTGATACATCAATTATTTTGTAAAATCTCTACAATAAAGTATGAAAATAGTTGGTTGCCGTATACAGGGTGCTGTTTTCTTTGCCACTCTGTATAACGAAAACGATGCCTGTTAGACCATGCATATAGTTACATTTTTTTCATATTTTGACGAGTACTATCGCCCCCTGGAAAAAGGTTCATATTTAAAACATTTCTTACTAGCAGACCCGACAAACCGCCTATCAGTCAATGTCCCGCTAATTCAATTTAAGCGGAGTTGAACATTAGGTTATTTGTAGCTTTAAAAATGAGTTCTCGCATTTTTTTGAAAAGCAAAGTTGTACAAAAATGCTACGGTTTTCCAAAGGGATAACGCGTCTGCTATTTACCTACAAATCTGCCTCCCGTGTACGGATTTTTACGTCCGTGGTCCGTCAGTCATTAAACTTGAGTAATTTTTGCACCTCTTTCTGTCCTCCGACGTAAGCGGGGGGTTACACCGCTTACGTGCGCCTAAGCCCTAAAGCCGGCCACAATAAATGCAGCCGAATGGGTCAGCCGAATTTGTGGGAAGAGCAAATACGAAGCCGCATTGTTAATTAGAAAATTTTTGTTAAATTATCTTAATGAATATTGACTTTATTGGTATCAGTGGAAAGCATTTTTCAGTAGCTTTCTAACGAGATGTCACAAGCATGGGGTTGCCATTTAGGATTTTTGACGAGGAGTGGCTGGGGGTTTAATGGGGGGTGGGGGGTTGTCACTCATAACGTCATTCTGGTTCCCCCTCGATATCCCCGAAACGGTTTTGCGCGATTTTTAATTTATCTATGTATAGTAAACTTTGCTTATTCTATGGAATGACCTTTGCAAAATCACTTTTGGAGCACTTTAATTAATAATAATAATAATAATAATAATAATGTCTTTTATTAGTTACATCTTGCAACAAAATGTATAATAGATTAAAATAAAAATTATATATTTTCGTGTAACTAAATTGGGCGAAGTTCAGATGACAGTGGTGAAACCCACTGCCTCTGCTCTTGCACTTAACCCAGTATATTACTTACATTATAAAGGGATGACACATGGCTTCTAATTGTAAATAATAAAAACTAAACAATGAAAATTATTGTTGACCAGTGCGGTACAAAAATTATGAATGGACGTAGCGAGAATGATATTAAATATAATTACTGTTATTATACATATATGATCCTAATCAGGTGTTCATTGGTTACGGATCTGGCGGTCAAGTATGAAACGTTGGACATGTAAATTAAATTGTTTAGGGCTAAGCTTTTTAAATGAATTTGGTAGAGAATTGTATAGATAGATGGGTAATGTTGTAACTATAGGAACGCTCATAAAATACCGTTTTATGCATCGGCGGAGTGATCAGCATCGAAAACCTGGTATTGGTACTGAAATTGATTTTCTCATACAAACACTGTGGAGATTTATTCAGAATTATTTTGTGGTATAAGGAGGCAGCGTGCACAAGTCTCCTGTTCTCCATATTTAACCAATTTAGTTCATTTAATTTGTGGGAGACATGTGCATATCGCCTTAAACCATAAATTAATCGAATGCATGAATTTTGATTTTTTTGAATCTTGTATTTGTCAGCAGCATCTAAACATGATCCATAAAGAGTATCACAATAAGTGAATTTAGTGAATTGCGATAGAACCAGTGACTCACAAAGCATAATTTTAAGGTGTTTACTAAGATAGAACCCATTATTGAATATTAATTTTAAATTTAAGTAGGCTTTCCTCACCATTTCAGATACGTGCTTTTTAAATCTGAGATCAGAATCTAGAACCACTCCAAGATTTTTTACTTTGTCTTGAACATGTAACGCAGTGCCCTTAACATAAATTTCTACAGCATCCTTATACCTACTTCTAATATTGCTTTTTCCAAACAACATCGCTAGCGACTTTGAAGGATTAATGTATAATCCATGTTCTTCAGACGTACGAACAATTCTGTAAATATCACAATTCATGTGCTCAATAGCCTGAGCGATGTTGTCGTGGGGAAAGTTATAATGAAGTTGGGTGTCATCTGCATATTGATGAAACTTGGCGTGTTGTAGACATTTGTAAAAATTGGAGGTGTATAATGTGAATAATAGAGGACCTAGAATAGAGCCTTGTGGGGCCCCACAGCAAATTGGCAGTGCATCAGATTTAGTATTATTTACTAGTACCAGTTGCTTACGATCTTTAAGATAACTTCCCATCAATGTACTTGCATGCGAGCCTAGGCCAACATAATATAATAAATTTATTAAAATTTCATGACTAATTGTGTCAAAGGCCTTGGAAAAGTCAAGCGTTACTAATATGGAGAGTTTATTTTTATCAGTTGCTGCGAATATATCGTCCGTTAAGTTTAGCAGTGCCGTGGCACAACTATGGCCTTTTCTAAAACCAGACTGCGTTTTAGGTAGAATTTGATACTTTTCAATATGCTGATATATTTGAGAAGCCATAACCTTTTCCAAGACCTTTGACAATACAGGAAGTACACTGATAGGGCGCAAGTCATTAAAACTCGTAGGGCTACTGTTTTTGGAAATAGGTACCACCTTAGCAATTTTCCAAATATCAGGAACAGAGTTAGATGTAAGACACGCATTGATGATATAAGTTATATATGGAATTAGAAATGGACAGCACAACAAAAGCATGTCAACACTTATTCCATCTTCTCCAATGGCTTTGGACTTAATATTGTAAAGTATGCTTTCTATATCAAAATCGGAAATTTTTGAAAAAGTTAATGTGTTTTGAAAGTTTAAGAGGCGATTATTTCTGTAAAAATTAATTAATTCTTTATTCGACTGCTGGGGTTTAAAAACAAATGCTTCATTTATTAACTTGTGGGTTATTTAACTAATTCGAGTGCCCCACTCGAAATTAATAATGTGACTTTATACATGTATGTTTTTAGTACCCAACAGACCAATTGTTTTTCTAGATCAATTTATAATAAAATTAATATCACAAGAAGACGTATTGATTATTTGGTTTTGGGTGTGCGGAGAATAAGATTTTTTTAAAAGGAGGCACAATTAAAAAGGAAATTTAGCCTTTTGTCAAATCGAGAAAAAAATAACAGAATTAACATTTGTATGTGCAAGATTGTATTAGAGAATTGGCTAAGTGCTAGTGGATTCAAGGTGTAGATATGACGAAAACAGCCAGTTTTAAGTGTAATACTTTTTTATTTTGCAATAAATGTCAAAGACAAAGGTACATAAAGTTAATATTTGTGACATTACAAAAAGAACACTTACAAAAAAATATTAGGTACTAATAAACTTATATGTAATCAAAAGCTTTTGTTTCAGTAGAGAGAGAATACATACAAATATCTTTTATTTCTTCTATATATAGGTATATAATTTACAAACACTTACTAAAGTGTAGGAATACTATACATTAGATCAACTACGAAGGCCATTTAAGAAATTCTCAACACGAAGAACGTATATGGATTAAAAAATCACATTGAAGTTTATGTACAGTTAATTAAATACTTAAATGACGATAAAATTAATAATACTTTTCAACCAAAAACTTCACCAGATCAAATAAAAATTCGTTCAAAAATTGCCTTCCACATTCTCCTCCAACAATCTTTAATACTATCGTCTACTTCGAGAAGTAGACGTTAACGTACAAACCTATAAATACTTTGTTATGTACACTTTAGTAAATAACTTAGTTTTGAAAACACATAAATTTTTGGGGAATGTTAACTTTGGTATCATTTTGTTGGTAATTGTTTGTAACTTAAATAAATATCAAGGACAAAGATTTGCTTCTTAAGGTAGAGAAACAACAACAAGAAGAGTTTGTACAGATCGGTGCCACCTTTTCGCGGCTTGGCAAGAAGAGAAAGTTGTACCAATCTGTGCGATCTGCGGGTGATGTGATTTAAAGACTGGGTGCGAACATTAATTGACAACAATTTTTGATTTCTAGCTACTTCATTTAGTTTTACTATAATTGAATATTATATCAAGAAATTCAATTAGAAAACTCAATCGCGCTAACAACAACAAAAAAAATTACACTGGAATAATTGCACAGTTTAATGAAAACGAAATAAGAGCACTGCCCATTGCTAAATTAGTAATTGTAACTCTCAAACGAGTAAAAGTAAAACAGAACCCTGTAAGGATTAAAATACACATTCATACGAATCAAAAAGTAACACCGACCAACTAAATTGTGGAAACTTCACCATTCGGACTGTAATCTTTCAACAGCTCGCGTAACCGGAGAATTTCTTTGGTGGCGATCGCCAAGTCCCCCTGCAGGTTAATCTCTTTCTCTCGCAATCTCTTGATGTCCCGCTGACAATTCTAAAAACAATCACGGCAATAATGGCGGCCGTCGAAATCGCCTAGCCGACGGTACTCACCACGTTCTGTTTAAGTAAATCGAGCTTATCACATTTCAGTCGTGTAACCTCCTGTATGAGGGAATCATTATTAATGCCTGTGATACACATCGGCCTTTCCTGGCACACACTACATGCCTTAGCCGCTGTTTCCGCACTGGACATACTCTCCAAGCCGGTATCGCTATCGATGTAGCCGCCGGCGAGGTGCTCCAAGTCCTCGCTCGTTAGCGAGGAGTCGTCGCTAGCCTCGGACATGGCGGGTCGCGTGTGCGCGTGCGCGGTCAAGTCGGGCGACGAGGCAGTCGACGAGCCGCCGCTCTTCTTGCCGTTGGAGACGATCGAGCTTTTCGACAGGGAGCGGCCGCTCTGAAAGTCAAAATTTATAGAGTTCCGTCGGTTGAGGAGTAAGGGGGACTTACTGACGGCGTCGACTCGGATATGGTGGGCTGACTGGACTTCTTCGCGAGCTTCTCGTGGACGTGAGAAGTAGAAAGGTTGTTGTCCATGCTCTGGCTCGATTTGACGCGAGCGCTCCACGCCTTCTTCACGGTGTCGATAAACCTGGAGCCGGCGCCCGAGTCGCTTTTCGGCGTGCCCGGGATGAGGCTTCCGCTACCGCCGAGAAATTCGGTGGTCTTCTCCCGAAGGTCGTCGGTTAAAGTCTGCAAGAGGGAGGTGCGCGTTCGCAGTTCTAACTTTGCGAACTTCTCGGCCTTGTAGCACGCGTTCTCGGCGTTGATCAATTTCGTTAGGAGAAACTCCTTGAATTCCGGACCGTGCCTGAAGACGGCTGGCGTTGGTAGCGTCGGCCCGAAGAATGGTACGTCGTCTCGTGCTGTCACGCTCACTTTGTATCTGAAAGAGAGGTAGGTAGTATTAAAATGTGTGCAGTAAACGTAGCTTTAAAATTAATAAGAGCAAAATAGCGAAAATCAATGGCCCCCTCCCTCAGTATGTGATTTCTTGCATTAATTAATAATAAATTATTCAAAATGAACACCTTGTCCCTCTAGGTGGCAAATGTCAGATTTTTCGTTCATGAACGTCGTTCACTTGTGCGAGTGTGACGATCTTTGTAGTGTAGACAATGTTGCCTCTTCGGATAATCAGTTGGTCTCTTGTTCCAGGACCTTAGAATGCGGTACTCCTAAATCAAAATGTCGAAATTTTAAATGGAGTGTACGCACGCAGTCGTTCTCCTTTCACGAATAAATTAAATCGCATTTGCACAACCGAAAAAGTTAGAAAAAAACGAGCGATATGGGTTAATGTGCCTTACAGTTTAAAAACTGTATAGTGACCTACAGAGTCAGCGATTTTCTGCAAAATCTACCAGTTTTTCTTTGGGCCCATTTTTGGAATACAAATAAGGCGAATTAATTTCCATTTTTAGATTTACCTGCACCTATACAAGTAACCGCTAAGAATGCAACGTTCCGGGCACGCATAATACCGTTTCATTTATTTCTTACGTATTGGATTACCGTAAAGAAAAACTGGAATTGATCTACTCCTTCAAGTTTCATGGTCAAACGACAGGTAAGGAAACGTTTCAAATTTCATGCAGAACAGGAATTAGCTGCGTGAACGAATTATTCGTACGTATTTGGTTCAACACTGCTTTTGTTACAAGGAAAGGCTACGAAATTAATACTTTTTCTCCTTGAAACAACGCACGAAGTATGCTCAAGATCTCCTGAGGGGTGACACCCTACCAGACGCATCCTCAGGTGGCAGATAGGCGAACAGCCTAAGCGAATGAAGTGACACATAGGTTAAGGCATTGTTTAAAGTATTTAAACAATGGTTAAGGCTAGGTATAGGGATGCTCGTCGGTTATGAAACGGCGACTGGTAGCAACCAGTAACAGCTACCCCGCCCGGCTGTTATATTGTGGCCAAGGGCTTGCACGGGGTTCAACGGTGCCGACATGTGTTTGAGGTACGGTCATTGACAAAAGTAATGATCGCCTAATAGGTAAACTATGCAGCATAAGCAACCTTAAATTGCTGGATCGTATTTCCAAGTTGGGACAGTATATTCAAATGTTGGTTTCGTATGCTGCAGGATTTACCTATTCGGCGATCATTACTTATGTCAATGACTGCACGTCGACTATGACGATAAACCATGCAGGAACGTGGTGAGGGGGGTTTGTAACTACCGGCCAAAACCTCGGAACTGGAGCCAGAAAAAACAAAATAAAACAAACTACTTCCAGAGCAGCTGGTACTGGAGAGCCTAAAAAACTACACTCACCAAATACAATGAGGTCATAAGAAAGGCAAAACGTGACTCGCGGAGGAGGTCCTGCGAAGAAATTCAACAAATTCCAGAAAGTGCCAGGCTCCAAAGAGCCTTACAAAAAGGAACAGAGAGTAGAATCCGTTCCTTCAAGAAAACTGAGGGTAAAGGAGACCTTGGAGCTTATGCTTCAATCACACTTTTCGGGATCAACGACCCTCTCTCAAAATGCGAACCAATTAATCCGGAACCACTTCTCAGGGGGACAGAGGAGATTGGGTTTTGGGTCGACAACTAGTGAACCTAAAACTGAAGAACCTTTCATCGATATCAATTCCCAGGGTTGGGTGGAATCTTTCCTGTTCTACTACAACAAGGCCTCGACCTGTTCGCCTCCACACTATGTACGTAAGTTGCAAGTTTTGCCCTGGGATACACACCTATGGCGTAGCGTAAAAGTCGAGATTCACACGCCCAAGCCAAATTGTTTAGACCTATCAGTCTAACGTTGTTTCTCCTAATGGAGAAACTTATTTTGCGACACATAAGTAAGGGATGACGTGCGAGGGCCCGAAACCATCAGTAACCACCAATGTGGTAGTGGATGTAGCTGAAAGAGTGAAATTTCGCTTTTAAAATTAAAAGTTGGTTTGCGCTCGATATTTCCTATTTAATGTTTAAAATTTCATGACTAAAAATCGAAGTGTCCCATTTAAAGTCAAAATGTCGTGTACATCTTATCAGGCGCCGTATTGTCGCGGAGTATGAGTCATTTAATTCGAGAATACTTTTACGACTACTAACTTCCCGTTTTAATAAAATAGGTAGCAGGCCCGGAAGTACTCACCTCGTGTTAGGGGAATTCGGCTCGATAACCTGCACAACGATAAACGCGTGAAGAAAATGCGAGGCGATCATATCGGGCGAAAACGGCGTGTTCGCCTCCTGAAAGACAATCGCGACAATATCGTTCCCTATGTGCCTCTTTCGTTGTAACTGCTGCGGATCGCTTTCGGTGTACGGCAGGAGCGTCGAGACGTGAAACATGATCTCGCGCTCCTTGAAGATCTCGTAGATCGCCTGATCGCCCGTATGGCCGTTCTGGATGTCGAGCCCGCCCCGATATCCCTTGTGATCCTTCAGCTGTATCCTCCGCCCGAGCAGGTTGAGGAACTCGTCGAAGTAGACGTTCGTTTCGTTATTGCAGAAGAGCTCCTCCTCGGTGGTCTGCCCGAATCTTTGGTAGAGGACGCCGAACTTGAAATTCGTCACTAGAACGTGCTCGTCGTAGTTCGCGATCGCTTGCGAGGCTTTCGGGCAGAGGATCGGGGTGAAGTTGTCGATATTTAGTTGTTCGTTGAGGATTTTGGCCATTCGCGCCGGATTCGGCTGCGATCCCAGGCACGAGGTCGGCACGATCTCGTGCATCGTCCCCGTTTTTAGCCTGAGAAGTATCCTGGTGTGTTCCTGATTGGCTACGTTTTCCGTTTTGACTGACAATAACACAGGTCCTAGCGTTTCGTCTTGGCCTATTAGGTTCGAGTGCTCCTGAAACAATAAAAAGAGATATATTAATATGGTAACTGTCGTTAATGACAAAATCGGAGCGTTCATCAGCACAATAGCGTTATTGTTTTTATACGGCTTCACGAGAGAAAATTTTAATTGCAATTTCCTTTTGTTTCTGTGTGTGCCTGGGAATGTTCCCATTATTGTTGGGTCATTTATGAATAATTAGTTTAGAATGCGTAACCAAATTCGAGATAGATACGGTACTGATTTTTTACTTTCGATGTACCTACTCGGACCGCATCAAGAAAAAGGCCTCCAAGTTCATGCTATTAATAGAATAAATCTCGCATCTTCCCACATGTTTCTTGTAGTGTAATCTTGGAATCTTCGCCAAGCCCCTGTAGAGTGACAACAACCAGCGGTTACGAAACGTTTCTTTGTGCCAAAACGTGATAAAAATCAAATGTGGCCGAAGGCCAGTTGTGTTTGTATTCAACTTCAATATTGATCGTTACACAAAGCGCGATTCCTTGTAAATGCGAGAATATTGATCCTTGAAAAAGAACGAAGGAATCGGGTGCAATTGAAGAGAAAAAAGTTCAATTAAACTGAACTTCTTTTTATCCCCGTTTTTCCAGCTTGCCACTTTTCTCTTATTGAAAGTGGATAAGTTTCCGACGGGCACGAATATTTATTTCTCGAGCAATTATATACCGCTCAACCCTAAAAATATGTGAAAATCTTAATTTTGTAGCGAGTTCTATGTAAGTAAGTGTTATACTTTGCTGCTTTTTCAATCATGAATACGAAAAATGTGACCTTCACTACCACTAATAAACAGCCCAAGTCTAGAAGATGGAATAAATAAATGCTAAATTTGAGAAACTTTTGAAATGCAAACAAAATCTGAGAAAAATGCAAAAGAGCAATTAAACCGATTTCCTTAAAAATCAAGCTAAAAAGAAGTAGTCGTCCAGTAACTGGAAAGGGCCATTTTCTAATAGATTTACGGCCAGTTGTACAATAAAATAATCCAGGAATATTGTTTAATCCGGTATTAAGACATTTGATTGGCTTTATATTGCAGTATGCAGCCAATCAAATGTCAAAATTCTTGTTTAAACTCAGATTTGGCAAATAATGTAGGATTTTGATTCTTGCTACCGGCCGTTAGGGCTTTACAATCCAAAAACATAATAATTTCGCATATTTGATCAATAAAAAAGCAGCAGAGCCGTTAAATCAAGTTCTAAAAAAATTGTGTTAAAAATATGTTGCCCATTTCTCAAAAAGGGATATTTTCTGATAGATTTACGCATTTATAACTCAAAAATATAATAATTTTACAGATTTGACCAATAAAGAAAGCAGCAGGGCCGTTAAACCAAATTAAAAAAAAATAGTGTTAAAAATAAGCCGCCGATTGCTCAAAAAGTGCCACTTTCCGACAGATTTAAGCACTTTTATAACCCACACATCAAACTATTGTGATTGATCTTGAATCTACATACATCAACCCTTAAATGGCGACAATAAAATTTGACTTTTCTTGTGATAAAAATTTCCCAATTTCTTTCGTTGTAGTATTGTGTAGTAGCCAGTAGGGGAGAGTCAGGTCACTTTGGGGTTGTTTAGCGACTAAATATTCGAACTATTGTGATTGATCTTGAATCTACACACAGCAACCCTTAAATGGCGTCAATAAAGTTTGACTTTTCCTTTGAGAAAAACATTTCCTAATTTCCTTCGTTGTAGTATCATGTTGTAGGAGCGGGTCAGGCCACTTTGGGGTTGTTTAGTGACTAAATATTCAAACTATTGCGATTGATCTTGAATCTACACACATCAACCCTTAAATGGCGTCAATAAAATTTGACTTTTCCTTTGAGAAAAAAATTTCCCAATTTACTTCGTTTTAGTATCATGTTGTAGGGGCGGGTCAGGTCACTTTGGGGTTGTTTAGTGACTAAATATTCAAACTATTGTTGATTTTGAATCTACACACATCAACCCTCAAATGGCGTCAATAAAATTTGACTTTCCCTTCGAGAAAAAAATTTCCCAATTTACTTCGTCTTAGTATCATGTTGTAGGGGCGGGTCAGGTCACTTTGGGGTTGTTTAGTGACTAAATATTCGAACTATTGTGATTGATCTTGAATCTACACACAGCAACCCTTAAATGGCGTCAATAAAGTTTGACTTTTCCTTTGAGAAAAACATTTCCTAATTTCCTTCGTTGTAGTATCATGTTGTAGGGGCGGGTCAGGTCACTTTAGGGTTGTTTAGTGACTAAATATTCAAACTATTGCGATTGATCTTAAATCTACACACATCAACCCTTAAATGGCGTCAATAAAATTTGACTTTCCCTTCGAGAAAAAAATTTCCCAATTTTCTTCGTTGTAGTATCATGTTGTAGGGGCGGGTCAGGTCACTTTGGGGTTGTTTAGTGACTAAATATTCAAACTATTGTTGATTTTGAATCTACACACATCAACCCTCAAATGGCGTCAATAAAATTTGACTTTCCCTTCGAGAAAAAAATTTCCCAATTTACTTCGTTTTAGTATCATATTGTAGGGGCGGGTCAGGTCACTTTGGGGTTGTTTAGTGACTAAATATTCAAACTATTGCGATTGATTTTGAATCTACATACATCAACCCTTAAATGGCGTCAATAAAATTTGACTTTTCCTTCGAGAAAAAAAGTTCCCAATTTTCTTCGTTGTAGTATCATGTTGTAGGGGCGGGTCAGGTCACTTTGGGGTTGTTTAGTGACTAAATATTCAGACTATTGCGATTGATCTTGAATCTACACACATCAACCCTTAAATGGGGTCAATAAAATTTGACTTTTCCTTTGAGAAAAAAATTTCCCAATTTACTTCGTTTTAGTATCATGTTGTAGGGGCGGGTCAGGTCACTTTGGGGGTGTTTAGTGACTAAATATTCAAACTATTGTTGATTTTGAATCTACACACATCAACCCTCAAATGGCGTCAATAAAATTTGACTTTCCCTTCGAGAAAAAAATTTCCCAATTTACTTCGTTTTAGTATCATATTGTAGGGGCGGGTCAGGTCACTTTGGGGTTGTTTAGTGACTAAATATTCAAACTATTGCGATTGATCTTGAATCTACACACATCAACCCTTAAATGGGTCAATAAAATTTGACTTTTCCTTGAGAAAAAAAGTTCCCAATTTTCTTCGTTGTAGTATCATGTTGTAGGGGCGGGTCAGGCCACTTTGGGGTTGTTTAGTGACTAAATATTCAAACTATTGCGATTGACTTGAATCTACACACATCAACCCTTAAATGGCGTCAATAAAATTTGACTTTTTCTTTGAGAAAAGTTTCCCAATTTTCTTCGTTGTAGTATCATGTTGTAGGGACGAGCCAGGCCACTTTGGGGTTGTTTAGCGACTAAATATTCAAACTATTGTGATTGATCTTGAATCTACCCACACCAACCTCGACACCAACCCTTAAATGGCGTCAATAAAATTTGCCTTTTCTTGTGATAAAAAATTTTCCAAGTTCCTTCGTTGTAGTATCATGTTGTGGGGGCAGGTCAGGCCACTTTGGGGTTGTTCAGTGACTAAATATTCAAACTATTGCGATTGATCTTGAATCTACACACATCAACCCTTAAATGGCGTCAATAAAATTTGACTTTTCATTTGGGAAAAAACTTCTCAATCTCCTTCGTAAAAAATGGCTACAAAAAAGTGTAATGAATTTCGAAAATATAAAGGACTCATTAAAATTTCCCTTAGACAATTGATTTGTTACTTCGGGGGCGTTTCTTTCTCACCCCAGTTGACTGTTAATGGGTGATCCTTTTCAGAACAGTTCAAGGTGCATGAAACGGCACGATAACTTCCATCGGAAACAAAACACTTCTTGGAATAATTATATGGGCACGCAAGCACCCAGGCGAGCGATTTTCATCTTGGCGCAATTAATCGTCGAAAAAATCGTGTCGGATTCAAATCGCCCACTAATGAACAGGAAATTTAAGCGTTGATTGTCAATGTCCTGAAAACATGCAACGCTTTCGCCGTCTGCCATATTTTACCGAACTTTAATTGTAATTATATTCAGTTTGTGTGTTTTTGCAAATTTTCTACTTAATTGTGTTGTTTTTCTAACAAATTTATGACAAGATGGCGATTAAACTTTACATATTTCGAATTGCGTTCGGTCAACACTCTCGCATCCGCCTTCGTTAAGTGACATTTTTATTAGTTTCAAACTTACGGGGAGTAATTTGTAATAGATTTAAATTAATTGTGGTTAAATTGGTTTAACTCCAGTACTAAATAGGGACGTTGATTTTTCTGAACACAAGCTCATTTAAATCGCTTCTGGTCTACATGAATACTTAATGGAAAATGAAGACTTGTATTTTCCCAATCCTTTTAAGATTTTATAAGGTGAAGGTGCTAAAAGGATTTCCGTCGAGGTGTAAGATTCCCAACCAATTCATTTTGCTTGCCTGGTAAGTAGGTATACCGGTTTTCAATGGGTTGTTTTTTAGTCTAGGAAAATTTTAAGTTTTCTAGCTAAAGCGAAACTTCCTCATATTTAACACATGACTAATTTACTTATCGCGTGCGATCCCCTATTGTTAAATCGCTAATACGAAAACACCTCACATGACTCATTGAGGTCCCCATAATTTACCTCCACTCGAGCCTCCACTACTACCTACTTTGTTGTTATTACAAGCTTCTTTTGCCTATTAACTTACATCCAGTTTGATCTTTAACCGCATTAATACATCAACGTTAAAAATAGCGAGAAGTGAAAGTAAGCCGACAGCAGAAAACAAAGCGGACGGTTCTTTTAAATTCCCCCGAAGCAAACGAGAAAAAAATAGACTTCGCAGGGACCGTTAAAGGGGCACATTTTTTATTTTTGTATTTGTCGGTAAATCACTGTCGCGTCAAATGAGGTTACTACTGGCATGGCACCAGCCGCCGCCGGTCATCTCTTCGTCTTGTAATGGTCATATGGCGGACCGTTGAT